GATGGATGAACCCCCAGGGCCAAGTGTCCAGCCCTCGGTCTGGTCTTCTGCTGCTTACGTGGGTGACGACAAAACAATGCCTCACTTCCAGACGAGGCGCAATGTTGAGGAACTGTGAACAGGAAATAGTAAAGAAGAAGAGAATTGGCGGCAGGATCGATGTCAAGCTTCCCCAGCATGCCCAGGCAGGTTGCGTCGTCGGCTTTCAAAAACGTGTTAACTTCCAATGGTTGGAAGCGTCGCCCCGCAATACTGGATTGCGCCTGTGTGTTGTTTGGCTGCACATGGCCAGGCCCAGTGCGGAAATGCGGCTCTTGGCCCGCAGGCGTAGATTGAACTGAACCCCCACCCTAACTCCATTGAACTCCGGAGCGCCTGGCCAGGCACACCAGGCCCCAACAAACAAACAGCTCCACACAGTGTGCAATAGGTGAGAGGTTGTGCCCTGCCACCCGGTGCGTCTGCCTGCGCTGTCCTCTTCCAAAACCAAACACCGGATCCATGACCTTCCAACGTGATCCACAACGGCTGTCGGCATTAACACCGAAATCTCTGGGCTTGCGGTGCTCGGCCCGTCTTTCTGACTGGCCGGGTTTTGTCTCTATCGGGTAGGGCCAGCCGGAGAGCGAGAAGGTCAGAGCGCGAATCGCCCTCGAGCGTGCCCAAGTCACACCAGCCCTTGGGGCTCGCACCGCCATTATGTAATGTCGTTTCCCTTTCTGTGCCCTCTTGAATCCCGTTGCTGGCCCGTAGGTTTTTCATTTCAAGAGCCGCTCTCTTCCTTTCAGATATTCTTCTATGGGTTACAAAGACCCGTATTAGTAGGAGCCACCTAGAAGATGCCTTGTCCATTCCATTCCTGATCCGACAAACTCTGGGGAAAGTATAGGCGACTTCGAGTCGCTAAATGGCCACCAGTCTCGAGTAAGGCTGCCGCCCTTGCCACAAGTGTTCTGGTTTCACGCAACCCCTGCGCCATCAATGTGGGGGGATTCTGCCTTGTGCTTTGCAGCTGAGAATGCTGACACAAAAGCGCCATCTTACGGGTCTCGATGAATTCGTTTCGCCCCTACGCTTGGGGTGTATTGCCTCGCAAGTTTCTCGGGTCTTTCTATCCCGTTGTATTTCGTATGTTTCTTACGTGTGACTGATGGTTCCTTCTCATATGGCTCTTATATCGGTGCCAAAACTCGAAGATTTCGGCAGCTACAGATCATTTAAATCCGATAAATTTGGGGGAATGCGGAGAAAGTGGGCCGTTCCGTCCAGGGCTTGAGGCTAGTAGATTCCGCGTGTTGCGCAGAGAGAATGATTGTACCCCTGACTGGACCCTGAGCACACAAGATGATGCGTCAGTCCATCGTTGTCAATTTGCCGGGAGCAAATTCGACAACTGCCGCGTGCACTGCGAGCAAAAACAGCCCCTTTTACCAATCAATCAATCGCTCTTTGTTCCTCAGACTATGATTGATACTGGTTCGGTGTTGCCGAATCGGCTGTACCAATCAATTGCCAGCTCGCGGTGCCGATGACAGATCCGGTGACATCATTGCCTACAGAACGCGCCAACCCAGCCTCGTGCCTCACAACATTGCCATCTCGGTCGCACGGAAAAGGAGCAAGCAATTGGACAATCCCATATCCAGGACAGCTCGCCAGATACCGCCATTTGTCCGGCTCAGTGCTTGCATACTCGTGCTGGCAGCTGAGCCGAATGGAAGTCAGTCAAGTTAGCTTGGGGTTTCATGTATGGATTGAGATTATTCCACCAATAAACCAATACATTCACTCAAGGCTGTCTCGCAGACGTAAGACAGGCTTGGGAGTTGGGTACCCTTGGTGTTGCATGGTATCATTTCGATTACGCAGCATATCTCCCATCCGCGATCGCCATTCGATCCCATTTGAAGCCAACAACTCCCAAGACGCCTGTGTACGAACAAGGGAAGTACCGCTGGCCTTGGCATGTATATAAAGGGGGGTTGGCAGATTCGGGCCCCATACATCGCAAACGAAAACAGGATACTCTTGCCACATGGAAATAAAATGTTCTTTCGTCACAGCCCCGCAAGCACGCTCTGGATGCCAGCACTGCTTGCGTCGTCTCTCCGCTGTACGTAGGCCTTGAAATCCGCCTTGAGCAGCTTTTTCCCTTGACCCCCAGGACCCGAGCCCAGACCTCTCGATTTCTCCTTGAGAGCCTCGGGCCCGATGATGAAAAGGTAGCCAACTTCCGTCAGAACTTCGACGATATTCACCACTTCCTTGGTCAGCGGCCAAGCCTTGAGCGTCGACACATACTTGGATATGTCCTTGGTCACCATCAAACCGCCCGTCGCATTGACAGAGAACTTTTTGAAATGGTCAAACAGGAGCTTTTGTATCGACAGCGCAAGCTCGCTGCTGAAGATCTCCAGGTTGTGTCCGTCCACGCCGTTCTTTGAAAGCGACGCGACCTTGTCTAGAAAGGTGCATATCCCAAGGCAGGTGGGCGACTGGAGCGAGTCTATGATGCCTTCGTCCTTTGGGCGGAAGTCCGTCTTCTTCTGGTTCGCCAGTAACTTGTTGACCCAGTTGACCACCACGTCCATGGTACTCTTCATGATTGCATTGGTCTTCTTCTCGATCGACTCGACCCCGGACCTGGCGTGCGTCTCCATGCCCCGGCGCACCGTGGTGTTGGATTCAGCAAGCCTGATTAAGACGGTGTTGATGAAGCGGTTCATTATGTTGGTGATAAAAACGGCCGGCCGTATCTTGGGCAGATATGACAGGTCGGGCTCGGTCCTGTTGGTTTCCTGCGACGTCGCCTGATCGAGGGCGGCATCGAGGGCTGTCTCCACGTACATGTGCCCCATGGTAGCCAACAGGAGGTTGAGAAGGATGTTGACATCCTTTGGCGTCTCGGCGGCTGTCCCCATCTCCAGAGTCCTCCGCACGCTTTCTGCAAGCCACGTCATCATCCTCTTTGCGTTGGCGATGCTGAGAACACCGTCCTCCTCCGACACCTCAATTTCGTTCTTCTTGTCGTCGTCCTGTATTCCGGCAACCCGAAGCATCATGGCCTTCTGCGTTGGCGTCAACTCGGACGAGTCAAGTTTCTCCATGTATGCGTCTTTGGCGGATTGGAGCAGCTGGTTGCCTTGCTGGGCGATGGCGGCCATGAAACCGCTCGGCGCCTTCTTCCTCCTTGAGTGATAAACGGTGAATTTGAAGAGAAGGGAGCTGTTCAACTCCTCCAGGCTCCTCTTTTCCCGATCGATATACGAATTGCCCACAAGGTATGGGACGAACAGCTCCTCTAGCTGCTGGTCCAATGCCTGTGCGACGGGAGCCGTGCACGGCTCGGGATGTTCAGTCAGTCCATGGGTTTTGAGATCTTCCACAAGCACATTGATGTAGTTGCGCGATGCGTGCAGCGAGCGCAAGAAGGCCAACGAGGAGACGGTGCTGGCTTTGTCCAGCACCATTTCAAGTCGCTGCTGGATGGACTGTTGAAACACGCGCTGAATGAACTTGATCAAGACGGTTTCGTAGTATGGGAAGGCCCGCTTGATAATGAAAGACTCCTCCAACATGACGAGCTTCACCTCGTCGACGAGAGACTGCAGGCTCGATTCCACGCCAGGGGGCTCCGAATCCGGATCTGCAAGCAAGTCCCACATCTCGCTGTCGACTGTCACCTCGTCGGTGATCAGCTGATCTCTGTTGATGAAGAATTGGTGCTGGTTGACGAAGACGGCGATGACACTCGCACCGCCGTTGAAGTCGTGTAGTACCCTGGCGCACTCCATCATGTTCTCAAAGTTTTGCCGGCGGTAGCTGTTGTTGAACTGCGCCAGGAGATCTTGCTCCAACGTCTCTGAGAACTTCTCCAGCACTTCTCTGGTGTTGAACTTCCGACTGTTCCCGGCCACCCCGTTGGTGACGCCATTGCCGCGGAACCCATTCGTCTGCCCCCAGGAGGTCGGATCCAGCCTCTGGCTGATGCGCATCAGCTGACGGGCAATGACGGCACATCGTACCTTGTTCTCGGCGCCGCCTTGCCTCTGGATATCTTGCAACGAAGTAAGTTCGCCCGTTTCGGTGACTTCCAGCCAGCACTGGATAAGGAAGTTGGCGTCCTGCGCCCGCCTCCTCTTCCTATCCAGCTCCTCGAGCTTCTCGCCGATCTGAACGGCAATATTGCCGCCGCCATCGGACCTGCTCGTCCTCTCAGAGCCATTGATGGAATTTGGGTTGTTGAGGGAGAGATCGAGGGCTTCGAATTGGGTCATGGACTGGTCCAGCTTGCGGCCCAGGGTGTCGAGAGTCTGGTCGTGCTGGATCTCGGCTCGTCTTACTTGCGACAGGATCTCGGATTCTTTCGCCTGCAGCTCCTCCGACAGAGAGCTCAGCTGGGATAATGAGTCTGCGAGCAGATGTAACAGTTAATTACATGTGCTTTGTCCCCAATAGGGGCACGACCCGTCAAATTTCCAGCGGGGACGCACTCTCAAAAGTCCTGATTAGGGGCTTCGGGTCAAATGGTTGGTGGGCAGGCCCGGATCGGCGGTTGGCAGGGACGGCATTTTCGGCGAGGCCATCGACAAAGTCGCGGACGATAAAGTCCTTGCTCGAGAAGTCCTCAAGGCTGAAGCTAGGGCCCGTGGGGAAGAGAGCCTTGGAGCCCGAGGACGAAGCCCGCTCCATTTGGAACCTCAACCTCAGCTCCGACTACCGACGTCCATAGAAAGGCAGCACCTATGTCTCACCAAGAAGATGGTGGTTAAGGGCG